AAGGTCGGAGACGTGTAGAGGACGGAGTATTGTTGAGAGTGACAGTACTGCAGAAGTGGTCAATAAGGTTGCAGAGAAATAATAATAGGAAGGGGTTTAAGAAGGTTGTGGGTGTGGAGGAGATGAAGTAGAGGATGCTGGGATAGGAGAAATGTTTTCTGGAGGTTGAGTAATAACCTGGGTGGATGATATGGATTGCACGAAGGTGACAGTATGCATTGTGGAGGGGTAGTAGTAGCAGTGCTCAGATTCATGGTCAAAGGAGAGCCTGGGGTCGGGGAATTTGGAGAATTTAAATGTATGTGGTTAGTAGCTACAGGAGCAAGCTTCAATACCGCTAACAAAGGTGTAAAATCTTTATCAGTGGCCATGGTATGCCTGGAGTATGTTGGGGAGAGAAGCAGTCCACCCCCCAGGATCCCCTTGAGGGGTGAAGGCTAGACAACCAAACAGGAATACAGTACCCATGGCTCCCCCAAGGGTACTATACAGTCAGTCTTTCATCCTTTAGACACGGCTCTCACACTGAAGGACACGGATACTAGAAATATTTTAGAGAAGAGAGAGAAACAAAAAGGGGAAGAAAAGACAGTGCAAGATTAGTTGAATTAAGGGATGATCCTCAGCATTGGGTCTCAGTCTCCATGTCCTAATCCCCTTCAAGGCAACAACTGGCTGGGGTTGGGGGGGGGGGGGGCATCAGATCCATTCCAACCTTTTCTAATATGGCCAAAAGGAAAATAACATACTATAGCTGGACGATTTCCGAAATTTACTGAAAATATTGAAAAAAAAATATCCTTAGAATCTACAGGTGTCTTAAGATTCAATGTTCTAATAATCTTTTCCTATAATGAAGAAATATTACATCTTTCTTAAATCTTTGAAATTCCATATAGTAAACTTTCAGCTTGTTACTTTCCTGTTCCTTTTGATAAGTTATTTTGCCTAATATGTGACTAGTATGTTTATATTTGGCAAGAATGTACTGGCTGCAATCTTTTTGATAATGCTTTTCTTTCATAGTGAGCTTGAAAAATGCCTTGGCCAAAAATAACATACAGAACAATGATTGTCTTACTTAATACACAACTACATAGGTAATATACAAATACTGATTGGTATAAATGTGTATCAACTCTTATTTTTCCTTTTTATACAGACAGCACTGGTTGTAAACTGAGTACTACCTAATGCATTTAAATTGATATTAATTTTATGACCTCTGCTTGGATAAGATAAGATATCTGAAGGTAAAGTTGAACTGAAGATAATTAAAGCTTCATGAAAGGTTAGTGGAACATATGGTAGGCTCAAAAATAATGTTGATTGCAGCTTGGATTATCTGCAAAACTGACAACTTTGAAGATGAAAGTAAACTTGCATAGTTATGGCAGATGTAGCTATTTTTCCAGGTGACTTTAAATGCCAATTCTTGTAAAAAAAAAAAGGCTCTACAAATGCTTAGTCACCAAGGAGTCAGCTCTTAGGCTTACCAATTTCACCTGTTTACCCTTCATTGTTATTTTATTGTTTTTGATGTTATTAATATTTTAATAACAATTTAATAATCGTAATATCACTATGAATAATAACAAAGTCAATTTTAATAGTATAAGAAAGAAAAACACATTTTCTTGCCAGTTCAAGGAATGGGAAAATCTGTATGTAACAAGACTCACAAAAATCTAAAAGGAACAATACATAAACCCCACAGACATTGGGTTAATGGAGAGCTTGGTATCTATGGTTCAAGTAAGGTATATGGGGAAAAAAAAAATGATGATTAAGGCTTGGTAAGAAAAAAAAAAAAAAAAAGAAAAAGAAAAAAGAAAAAAAAGAAAAGAAAGAAAAACAAATTGCATCTTCAGTATTTTTAAGCAAACCATCAGTTTTAATTAATACATATAAAAATATTAGCAAATTTCATATTCAAATAATCTTCTATCATAACAATTCATGGGCTTCAAATATTCGCCAACTGGCTATTTCTTGAACTTTTTCTTTTTGTTGATACGGTTCCTGACTCCAAGACTCTCTTCTGTATCATCACCGTGATCCCGTTTCTTTCCCTTCTTGCCTGTCTTTTCATTAAGTCTAGACATTTCCTGAAAAAAAAGAGGATAGGCTGTTGAAATAAGTGTATAATATATTCATAAGAACAGGACTGAACTGTATTTAGTGCTGCTAGTAATTTTCTTTAAACCTTAAGCAGAATCAAACTGAAGTTCCCTGGAAGGACACCCGAGATGAAAGTTGGATACTCACAAGCTTTGCAAATCTTTCAGCTTCTGCAATCCTCTCTTCCAATACAAGAGCCTCCTCTTTGACTGTAGGATACACGTCCAACTTGTATCCCAGCAACTTCTCTATTCTTTGGTAAACCTCCACTTCATACTGGAAAGTGGAAAGTGACAAAAGACTTTCAAATTCTGCTTATAAAAATGAATCATTCTTGATAAAAAGTGTTTACAACCTTCTAAATAAATTGAAAGTTTAAAATTAGTTGTTTGTGTATTATAACATGACTTCCAATTAAACAAAAAGAAGTCAACTACATACCTGAGACACAAAAGTTATGGCAATACCAGACCTTCCAGCTCTTGCCGTTCTGCCAACACGATGAATATAATCTTTGCTATGCATTGGCACATCAAAGTTGATCACATAGTCAACACTTGGGATGTCAAGTCCTCTGCAGAGTACATGAAATTTTAGTAATATTTGAGCATATCATAAATAATGTATGTATATCATTTCAATTTAATCTAGGCTTTTACTGGTGCAACTTCATTATTCATAAAATGGTATCTAAGAATTCACAGTAGAAATTTACATGCAGAACCCACAAACAGTATTTACTATAAAATCATAAACTAGTCACTTACCTTGATGCCACATCTGTGGCTAAAAGAATAGACCGCTCCTTGGCTTTAAATTTATTCAAGGCACCCAGACGTTTGTTCTGAGACATTTTGCCGTGTAATGGAATGGCTGTGAAGCCAAGGTTGCGGAGTATGAGTGCTGTTTTCAGTGTAGAGAGTTGAGTGGCACAGAATATGATGACAGACTGATTACCAATTTCACTTAAAATATAAGCAAGGTACATATGCTGAAAAAAGAAAATAAGCAGGAACTGAGTGTCTTATCTATTCAAAATAATTACAAACCTCTTTTTTTTCCTTAACATTAATATTATTTATGAAACAAGTACATTTTAACATCTACTTTTCCCAAGAAGAGAACATATCTATTTACATTAACCAATTTAACTTTACGAATTCACAGTCTTAAACTTACCTTGTGCTTACAGGGGATAAATATCATTGACTGTTGTAGTTTACTGACTGTCTGATATTTTGATGAAACTTCCACCTTTATTGGATCCTTTAAATGAGCTCGTTGCAGCTTATTAACCTGCAAGAAATTCACATATTTTATTTTTAAAAATTAGGACTGAATTACTGCAAAGTGCAAAAGGTGTTTGTGGATAAGACTAAACTTTCTGTAAACAGTTATTCTTCCATTTTGTTTTATGATCACAGTAACTTTGTTAAGTGTATAATACTGACATTATAATCAAAACCTTCTTCTTCTTCTTTTAATGCATACTATTTGAATATTTACTTTGAATAATCAAGAGTAATTTACAAGATTATTTTAGTGTCAACAATGCAGAAGATACTTATTTGAAATATGTTAAAAATTAACTCAAGAGATAAAAGATGATCTATCTACTCACTTTACTTGTCATGGTTGCTGAAAACAGCATTGTCCTCCTCTCTCGTGACAACTGTTTCATGATCTTATCAACTTCCTCCTCAAAGTCCATGTTGAGGATACGGTCAGCCTCGTCCATCACCTTTACAAAATAATAGGAAATCAAAAAATATCTTATTTCTCAGGCAAATCAACTTTATCACCATCATTTCATCATGACCATCTTCATTATCCTCTAATGATGGACACACCATCAATTGTTTCCTTAATATTTACCTTCATTCTGAATAATAATGAAGCACAAAGAAATAAATGATGGTAAAATGACATACCAGATACTTCAGTGCTTTCAGGTTGAAACCCTTTGTCTTCTCTAAGTGGTCCACAAGACGGCCCGGCGTGGCCACAATGATATGTGGTCGCTTGCCCAGCTCCAGCGCTTGTTGTGTCATGTCCATACCTCCCACTACCACAACACAAGTCACACCCATGGCTTTTCCTTTAGAAAAATGCAAATAAATAAATGAAGTGGAGTGATCTACCTCAAATGTCTCATTTCCACTTTTATGCAAGAAACAGGTCAACCCTATTAAATTTGCTACAGACTTAAAATGTATAGTTACCAAGGGCATCAAATTGTTCTTTAATCTGGAATGCTAATTCTCTGGTAGGAGTCAAGACCAGGCAGAAGAGACGCTGTGGTTGTGATATCAAAGACTGGAGCACAGGAAGTCCAAATGCTCCTGTCTTCCCTGAACCTGTTTCTGCAAGACCTATGACATCTCGCCCTGCAAAAGGAGTGTTGTATGAACAATATTGTGTAAACAGAAAACAAAATGTAAAATGGATATTATATTCAAAACAGTATATAAATAAAGATAACTGATATGACCTATACAATTTAGTTATCAACTATATCAAGGTCCATTCTCCATAACCATACAACTAAAACCACCAAAAAGTATCATCAATTATAATTCACACACATATATATATATATATATATATATATATATATATATATATATATATATATATATATATATATATATATATATATATATAGAGAGAGAGAGAGAGAGAGAGAGAGAGAGAGAGAGAGAGAGAGAGAGAGAGAGAGAGAGAGAGAGAGAGAGAGAGAGAGAGAGAGAGAGAGAGAGAGAGAGAGAGAGAGAGAGGGGGGGGGGGGGGGCATCCTTGTAACTTATTGTGATATTATTATTTATTCATGTAAATGGATGCCGCATTGTTTTACAAGTTTACATGTTCCTTATTTACATGCAAAAACTTCTAATTTCACTTTCTAGAGAAAACCATTTTAAACTTCCATGTACTAAGCATGCAAACTTGTAAGTCCTCAACAGGATGCATTAACCCATTCACGCCGGGTGTCACGTATATGTGACGGGCCCACTGTGAGTTTACTTGTTTAATTGTTTTCACACATAGATGCCTGTCTCGCCTGTTTACCCTTTCCTTTAATTTACGGAAATATTATACGTTATCTTATTTTGCTGTTACTAACATTATAGTAATTATAATGTTTATAATAAAAATAACCATCGATATTCATTGTACTAGTAAAAATACATTTTCCCGCCAAATGAAATCAGGTAAGGCAGAGCCATCTAGTGCAGAGAAATTTCACAAAAAGAATAAAAATGAGCACGGCATTTTGCCTCATTTTTTGTTCATTTTTACCCGGCGCGAATGGGTTAAACAGATGAGATTAAAATTATATATTCTGGTGTATAAAAATCAAGATCTTGCAATATCAGACTAAAATCTGTGGTAGTGAAATCGGAGAATCAGAGGCAGTATTCACGAAGGGTCATAGAAACTAAGACAATATTTTACTCCTAAATGTCTGTGACTGTCTAAAGATTGTCCTTTGCTATTTTGTCTATGACTTGCACTATTGCCACATTTCAATAGAACTTATACCTACAGTATAGAAGATCCTATCATAATAATTCAATGTCATAATAATTACTATTGCTGTGAATCTCAAGTATATAATAACTATAATATTACATATCTAATATCTTTTACATGTTATGTGGCACCCTTACATTTGATAAGATTCCTTCAGCTGTGAAAGTGTATAACACCATTTGTACTTATCTACAACAACAACAACAAAAAACTAATTAAACAAGGAGAAAATGCCCCAATTAACATCTGGCAATAAGTAAAATTCTGGCAGGAAAGTTTTCCACATAATTTCTGATGCAGAATTATCTTCAACAACTGCAAAATTGCAGCATTGTTGTTGGTGTCTTACATGGACAACTTAAAGACAGTAATTACACGTGGGACACCTCCAGATCTGTCTTAAATATCTGCCAAGTTATAGACAAAAATCGGGTGTTAGGGACATTTTTGTGAGGATTCAAAATCTCAGTCATAGAGTTTTTTTGTTTTTTTTTCTGTCAAAGACAATTTTCAGTCAATGACCTTTTCTGAATACCACCCCAGGTGTTAACTGCTTTAGTTGTGGGGGTAAAGATTTGCCTTAAAAGAATAACCACAACACTGCCATAGATAACAGGTTTGTGGGAATGGGTGAGCAGCTGGCTGATTAGGTAATCAAATTGCACTTTCTCTTCTGTCTCAATAGGTTTTATTACTCTTCTCTTTCATTTCTTTAATGTGTAAACAATTGATATTCTATTAGCCCTATAATTTTGCTGAATTAGCACATACCTTTCCTCTACAAAGTCACTTCGCTAAATATGTTTTCATGTCTAGAAAATTCTACCTAAAGAAAAACAAGAACACCAAGAAGCAGAAGCAGAAGAAGAAGAAGAAGAAGGAAGATCAAGAACAGTATCATAGTGGTGTGTCCTACTCCATGCCTACCTTCACTGAACCAATAACAGAAAAATGTTCTGACACCTACAAATGTTGTACTGAAATGTCCATGAAGTACAGCTCTTTTCCATAATATATACATGTAGATTCTCAGGAATATACACACCATCATTCATCACTAGGTAATTACTGTTTGAAGAAAATCCCTCTCATTTCAAATGTTGGAGGATAGAAAGCTATTCTTTAAAATAAATAGCTTGGTATCGACAATAGTCTTATCAGGCTACCTGGAATACTTGCTTGCACAGTTAAAACATTCAATATCAGAATATAATTATTCCATAATCATTCACAATCTCCTTCAAATGATTTTGTGCAATAAGTGACATGACAACCTAATCAATTATTATTATGAACTTACTATACTGTGACAACACGAAAGACATACCAAATTTCTGTTCTTTTGACACCAAGGCATTTAAACTTAAAAGATGTAACAGCAAATGTAAATCAAATATGAAAAAGAGAGAGAAAAGCAAAAGGGATAGAATGGATGCAATAATACTTTCATATTTTGCTAAACAAGCATATCAACATTAAAGATGAGTAAGGATAAAGCTGCAATCCCAACCAAAAGGATTGATAATTAGTGTAATGAATTTCATTATACTTACCTTGCAATGCAACAGGAATGGCTTCTTTCTGAATTGAAGTTGGACTTTTCCATCCTAAATGTTCACAGGCAACACACAGCTCATCTATGATTCCCTGCAAAGCAAAGATACATATCAGAAATTATAAGAGCAAAGAAAAGTGATCCAAGGGTGAGCACATGACCATTACAAGTGTTTGTTGCAATATCCACTGCCCACATGCCCATGGTATTTAGTGGATGAATACCTGCAGTCCAAACTAAAAAAATATGGCCCAAAAAAGCCCAGGTGCTATTATTAAATTTTCCTTTTA